AGGCCGAAGAGGGGCGGCGGCGGCGGCGGGGACGGGTAGCAGAGGGCGCCGGAGGAGGAGGAAGAGGAGGAGGGCGCGTAGGCCGCGCTCAAGGCAGGCCGGAGGGGCTGCTGGGCCGGCGCCTCCTGCATGTAGGCCGGGTAGGTGGAGAGGTCGCTGCGCTTGAAGCGCTTCCTGCGGCGCAAGAAGCTGCCGCTCTCGAACATGTCTCGGGCGTGGGGGTCGAGGGCCCAGTAGCTGCCTTTGCCCGGCCGGCCGGGCTCCCGGGGCACTTTGACGAAGCAGTCGTTGAGCGTCAGGTTGTGGCGGATGCTGTTCTGCCACTTGCGGGGCCCGTCGCGGTAGAAGGGGAAGCGCTCCGTGATGAAGCGGTAGATGCCGCCCAAGGTCAAGCGCCGCTCCGGCGAGTGCGCGATGGCCATGGCGATGAGGGCGATGTAGCTGTAAGGGGGCTTCCCGCGCTGCACCGGCCGCTTCCTTCGCCGCCCCGCTGGCCGAGACCCCGCTGCCGTTGCCGTCGCCGCCCCCGCCTCTTCTTCCGACGGCTCCTGCTCCGGCTCCAAGCCCTCTCCAAGGGGCGGCGGCGGCTCCACCTTCACTAGTGCAGGTCGCCCCGTCTCGGTGTTCGTGTGGCCTGCCAGGCAGGTGGACGACTGGGGGCTCTCCGCTGTCATCGCCGGCTCTGGCCCTGCCATGTGCGGCGGCGTCGTCCAGGCAGACTCCGGGAGAACCACGGGCAGCCCGGGCGGTGGGAGCGCGCCAGCCTGGCTGCCGTCGGAAGGAGGGTCTCTCCGCCGCTAGCGACGCTCAGGGCGTTAACGGGGATGGAGGGGGGAAAAGCGCGCCGGAGGCTTCGCGGTCCGACGTGATGGGTGCTCAAGCCCCTGGGGGTCCCTTCGCCCCACCCCCTCACTCCGCAGGGCTGGAAAGAAGGCGCGCCTCCGGGTGGCCGGACCTGCCCGGCTGCGCTTGAGGGTAGCCAAGGATGGCCGGCGCCGCCGACGGGCGCTGGACACCGTAAAGCAGTGGCCTGGTTTTGCCGCCTAACGAGTCCGGGCAAACGGGATCGGGTCCTCTCAAGCTGGCGAGCCGCCCACGTTCCTGGTGGCTGGGATGAGGCGAGAGCGGGAATGGGGCGCCGGGCAGGAGTCACCACCGGGCGTGCGGCAGAAAGCGCGACGCCTCACCTGGCGAGCGGAGGCTCCCTCTGGCAGCCGGCAATCCCGCCGGGAGCGTCCCGGGCACTCGTGGGGTTCGCTTCATGACCCGAGAACCGCAAGCTCGCAGACGAGGCGGGGAAAGGACCGTCCTTGTCCGTCCACGACGGTCCCGAAGCGACGGCTAGGGTTAAAAAACAAAACACCCTCCTCGCAAGAGGTTGAGCCTCCGGCCGCTCTCCGCGCACCTGGGCCGCCCTTTGCAGCTGCCGTGCCTGAAAGGAACGGGTGGAGACGCGGCGGAGGCTCGCCCGAGCGAGCGAGCGAGCGATTCCTCAACCTCGCTTGCGAATGCCGGGGGCGCAGCAAACCCAGAGGGCTCCCCGTCGAGGGAGGGGCCTGGCCCAGGGCAGGAGC